CTTGAACTTTGAAATGTTTATTGTTATTTGTATCCAGCGTGCTGTTTGAAAAGCAGTTTCTCAGGACAAGCAAGGCAGTGATGAGGAGGGGGCTACTGACCTAGGAAGGTCTGTGTAGAGCTTCAGGATGGCTTACAGAAACCAGAGGTCTACAGCCATCACACAAAATACACAGAAGCCTGTGGATGGAAGAGGATTTTGTCACAGAAACAAATGAATTGGCCCAGGACACTTTACAGTTGCACAAAACTTCCCGTCATACAGGCGAGACGGGGAGAGGGACAGTGCCACAACTCAGAGATGGCAGAGCTGAACACACATGGTCACTGTGGCTCTGCCTGTTGAACGTAGCGGTGGAGCCTGGAGCCCATGGCATTCCTGAGACCCAGCTTCTCAGATCCACACTGTCCCCCCAGGGTGGCCTGACCTCAGTGAAGAAGCACCATGGCTTGCTGCAAGGAGGGCCGTGGAGCTCTGGGCAGCACCTACCTCATCTGCCCACTTTGTGGCCCACTGTGGCCCCCATCAAAAGGGCAATGGATTTACAGGGGCTGCTGGGTCAGGCACAGTGAGAGGGGTCCACCAGCAGTGGGGTCATCTTATAGCTAGCCCTGGGGTTACTTCAACAGATAAACTCTTGCATTATAATTATTATATGTGGTAAAGTAGAAATCTTATTTGACTTGCATCAACAACTGACTGTGCAATGGCAGTGGAAAGGATCAAGCACAACACCAAATCTCTGGCTCACGTGAAGATGAAAGTGTGTTTGGCCAGAACAGCAAAAGACCGACCAGCTTCCTGTGAAGAAAAATGTCCTTTCAAGTCCTTCTTTGAGTTATATTTTTTACAGCAGGTGCTCATCTAACTACGCTTTTGTGAGGAATGACTTTGTTTCTAGTGTGCTTTCCTTCTGTCCTGTTAAGATCCCTTTGGTGGCTGTGTCTCATGATCCCACTGCCACCTCAGTAACTTATAAACCTACTTAATGGAAGTAAAATTTCTTCTTACCCTTTCCTTTCACCTTGTATGTCAAGAGTGAGTCCTAAAATATCAGTGTATTCCTCTCCACCCAAAACACCTGACGTTCTCTCATGACTGCTCTCCAGGCTGGAGGTCAGTGTCATAGTGCCCGTTGAGCACTTCCCTTCCCCAAAACCTGTTTTCTTCCACACAGCTCTTCTTGCAGAAACTACGCTCCTCCCCAGCTCCTGTTTGTGGGGAGAAAGCAGCTGTGAGCCATTTAATGAAGACAGAGCTTTGTACATTTAAAGTTATCTCATGTTTGTCATTGCTTTAACTAGTAAAGCCTGAAATAAAGCAAACTTTTCTTTCAGATGTAGTTTTGATGAACAAAGTTGAAATACAGGGAATAGGCATTAGGGAAGAGCTCAGATATAAATGTCCTGGCATGTTTTTAATCCTTTAATTATACTTTGTGTCTCAAGTGCTTTTCAATAGGAAGTGAAATCCGGTTAGGATACAGAAGCAGATTTCATACCTGTGCATCAGAAAGGTACTCCGGGCTCTGCTTCTAGAGCTACAAAGCAGGCAGCCCAGGAAGGTGTGGTACAGGTTGCCCAACTTTGTTGTTTTTAATTATGGTTAAACTCTAGTCCTAATGGAAAAAAAAAAAAAAAAAAAAAACCATGGGTTTTACAAAGAGCATTTTGGATATGTAAATTTAAGAAATAGGCAAAAAGACTCTTACAGAGA